AAATTTTTTTAAAAAAATTTTTTTTTTTTAAAAAATTTTTTTTTTTTTTTTTTTTTTTTTTTACTTTTTGGCAATGGAAACAAATTTTATAACCAATTGTGGAAAAAATTATCACTTTAACAAACACTTTCCATGTAAAACAAAGCCAAACGAATAGAAAATCTAAAAAATATCCGGGTGGAAAATTATACCAATCAAACACACTTGAAATCATTTTCCATACAAAACATTTTCTAAACAAATCTTTTCCCAATAAAATATTTTCTTTCCACCCATTTTTCACCCTTGCAATCAAACGCACCTTTATATTAACCCTTAAACTACCTTAACCATTCAGACCACACGTCAAACCCCATATGATGAATCGGGCGAATAATTGATTATAAAATTGTTTAATAATACACTTGAATGCGATCCGATGTTTAAATTTACACGTGGCATACTCCTATTTGTTTACGCCACGGTTAAAAGCCAAAATAATCGTGGGCCTGTCTTGTGGAGTGGGGTCTCTCCACCGTCCATCTGTCAAATCAACTTTTTTATTTTTAAATAATGTTATTTAACCCTGAAATTGTAGCTACAATCTAAATGACGTCAATGTGATATTAAACAATAAATGGAATTAAATAACTCATTTAATTATACCATCTGTTTAGCATATTAGCTAATGCTACTTAGATCGAAATAGAAACTCCAACGAGATCAGATAACATTATTATTTGAGTAAAGTCATTTTACCCGTTGACACCTCAGGTAACTGATCATCACATTGCGTGTGGGTCTCGCGTGATAAAGTAATGCCCGACCCTCGAAGTGTGTGTATTTGATCATCCCCTATGTTCGTGTAGCATGGTTCTTTTTATTTATCTTTACAGAGAATATACACCAATGACAGCATGTCCACGCGTATACTATTTCTAGGATCTAGCTCTTGGCTAGTAGGATCTTGGTTCCTATTTAGCCTCCGCTTGAGCCTTTTTTCTTTTAAAGAATGTATTATTTAAATTTTTAGAATCCATAGATAAAAATTAAGAGAAATTTAAGGCCTTCATATAAAATTATGTTATTGATAGAATGTATAATTAAAAATGAATTTGAAAAAAAAAAATTAAAGAATGTGACTCAAACGGGACACAAAGAAATAATCATTTTAATCAACGTATAGAAATATATTTCACATAAGTAATCAGGTTCAATAAAATAATGAAACGACCAATCCACTAGCATTGGCCGGCAAATGGGTCAATCCGGTCGAACTCATAATGTAATGTCAAAGAAGAATTCTAAAAAAATCAACAATATATGTCTATTACACTTTGTCTATTTTGACACGGAGGATGTTTGAGCCCCATTATTTTTCAAGAATATATTTTGAAATCGTAAATTGATAGAGAATGTGTGTTTAAAAAAGAAGGATTTTTTTTTATTTACATGTAATATTATTTTAACGAAGAATGTGATCTTGAAAAGAAGATAGAAAAAAATATATTTTTAAAAAAATGAGAATCAAACGTCTCCTGCATTAATATACATCAATTGGTATCTCCTTTGGATTTGAATCGTAATGTTAAAAGAATTAGTCTATGTGTACACCTTGTGGTGTATACAGTATTTCACACCTCCCTCATATGCAAGGGGGTCCACAAATATTTTATCTTGTGTGAGCCTCCCTCCATGTGAGGGAAGTATGAAACATTGTGTGAAATATGTGTACCCAAAGCATTTCCCATGTTAAAATTTTCAAAAATTGATAATCACGCAAAAAGCAAAAAGGAGTGGGGGACACAAAACACAATGAGGGAGTGATCCAACGGGGATTATACGACAACACACAAGTGGGTCCCTTGTTAAGAGTATACAACTTGGAAAGCTTCTTCACAAGGGGGCCCGAATCGAAGGCATTTTTTCAGAGATGGCCGTTTCTTGGATGCTCATTGCTACGAATGTTTTCTAGCAAAATCATTTACTCACAACATGTTCAATAATTTAGATTAAGCCCCTGTTTCGTAGAGATTAAAATCAGATTTCGATAAAAGTTAATAAAATGTATGATTGAAAAGTTGTGAATCTTATAAAACGTGTGGTTAAAAGTAATTGTTGGTCTTTTCACTAAAAGTTTAAGCAAATTTTTTAACGGTACCAAACGGAGACTAAATAACATTTAAGACATAAGCAAAATTATTTATTTGGCAATTGGGTCCCACCGAGTCACCGGCCTGGTCGCAGTTTCTTGGCTTTTGGTTCGTCACAATCATCAATTGGGTACTAATTTGCAACTTAACATCATTTCGTGGCAACATTCTTTGCTCACATTTTTGTAGGTTTGTACTTTTGCACTATTTTACATTGGTGGGATTAGTTTCGGAGATTATTTGACAAGATAAATTACATGGAAGTAATAATAAAAATATAAATCTAAATTAACAATTAATTTTAACCATACATTTCATGGAATCCACAAATTTTATTAACTTTTCAACTACAGATCTCGTCAACTTTATTAAAATTTACTAAAAATATGATTTTTAGTTAAATCAAACCGAGGTTAAATCTTTTTCTTCTAGTTTTGCATCTTATATAATAATATTCCATAACAAACATGACTCAACAGACTTACATCTCATTCTTTCTTACTAGAAGCTGTTAGGAAATTTACAGAGTTCAACATCAATAGTCATAGCAGAAGTAACATTTACAGAGCTCACAATATAAACATAAATAATCAACCGACAGCATAAAGAAATTATAGAACCAAATTTACTGGGAAAACCAGAAAGCTTCTTCCCTTTTATGGTCGACAAATAGGCCACGCCACGCAAATTGCCATGCAGAGAGGGTGGTAAACAGAGAAACCATGGGTTCAATTTCTGATCATCGATCGGGAACGATTTACCAAGGTTCAACAGATTCTAGTTACAAATTTAGGAAGGAAACCAGCACCGAATCAGCAAATGTTTCAGACCTGATCATACCCATGATTAACCCCTAAATCACTAGAAGCAAACACCTGGAAATCACACAAGAGAAAAGAGAGACCAGACTCAACACCAAAAAGAACGCCCAAAAAACGAGAGAGAGAGAAGAAGAAGAAGAAACGAATGAAAGAGACGAGTCAAATAAGGAAGCAAGGAAGAAAATATCTCCCCAAGATTAGATCTCAACCGTCCATCTCATCCAACGATTCTAATAAACCCAAACTAGCACAATCCATTGACAAACGAGCTACCAATAGGCGGTGACACCTAAGCAGCTGGGCCAAGATAATCCAAACAATACAAATGACACAAATAGTACTAGTCCAATGGTGTTATGGGAAACACATTTCTCACATAAGCTAACTTACATAGTTTCATAGTAGCGTAAGTTGGCCAAAGGAAAAAAAAAATGCTAGAGACTAGTCGCTTCTGGTGAAGCTTCTAGATGGCCTACCACTGTATACAGAGTACTAGTGATAAACTATCACTCATGCGTATAGATGCAGAAGCTTCTAGGATGAAATCGAGACAAGAAGATTGATAGACGAAGTGCTAAACAACTAATATCGTGACAAAAGTACTTCATACATGCGCATTAAATTAGTAAGCCGCGAAATATGAAGAAAAAAAAATCACAAATCTTTCTCAGGTAGAGGAGAGGCACAAAAATTGAAACAAATCAATCATGATGTCAGCTCGTATTAAGACATCGTTCATTCCTTTACCAAAAAGATGAACAAAATCCGTGATCTCCACGGCTCTACGAACACTGATTATTGAGAGAATTCCATACGTTTTTCCTTCTTGAAAACACACTTTTGGTGTCTTGTTCTTAATAATTAAAAGTTCAATTCGTTTAATAGCTTTTTGGAAAGTAACAATTTTCCATTTTTCCGGCTACAATATTATCACTCTGCATGGATGAACATGATAGCACAAAACATTCAGGGGTTGTTTGAGCCTCATTTTTTTGAAAATTCATTTTCAACCACACATTCTCCAATAAAAAATTTGAAAGAAGTGTAAACGAATAGGAGTGGATGAACATGAGAGCACAAAACATTCAATAAGCCATTCATTCAAGAAAAAGGATGAAAACTACATGCAAAATGGCCTCCACCATGTGGATGTGGGATTGTCCATTCAAAAAACAATTAATAATTTTCTGTAAAAGTAAAGCCATTTACAACTAGACAAAGCCATCACTCATGTCAGATTTCCTCTAATTCTTATATTAATCAATTAATTATTTAATTCAAAAACCACTTATTTTACACCACTATAAATAGCACTCTAATTTATCAATCTTCTCATCCTCACACTCACTAGCAAATACCTCTTCTTTCCAAGTTTCATCACCGCATTTATTATTTTCAACAGTTACATATATCACCCTTCAATCACAATGGCCACATCTCAGGTTTTTTTTTTTTTTTTAAATTTGTATTTTCATAGATCATAATCTCAGCAGCAAGTTCTAGGTTTAGATTACTTAGTGCAACCCACCTTGAGATCAAAAGTTTTTAGTAGATTAATCAAGTTTTTGATTTAGCTCCAGCAGTCGACTCCTATGTCGATTTAGGTTATTCAGGATTGATAATTTAGTCGAATGCCATATTTGATCAATACTGATCCAATGAATTTATCTAAAGTTCAAGCACTAATCAAAATTGGCTAGTTTCATTAATAGATCAATGCTGATCTCTTTTCTATATTTGTATATGATTGATTAATGGACAATGGTCGTTTTTATCAGTATTTCTATTATCTCAAGATTAAAAATTCTGCTTTCATTAGGTTGTGTCAGTTCCAACACCAGTAGCAGAGACTGTTAAAACTGAGGTGGTGAAGACCGTTGTAGAGGCCTCAAAAGAAGAAGAGGTGGCAGCACCACCAGCTGTAGCCGAGGTGGTGGCCGAGGAACAAGTAAAAGCAACCGAAGAAGAGGTGACCGCAGCACCAGCAGCCGAGGTTGTGACTGAGGAACAAAAACAAGTAACCGAAGAAGAGGTGGCTGCACCACCAGCTCTCGAGGTGGTGACAGAGAAACAAGAGCAAGCAACCGAAAAGGAGGTGGCTGCACCACCAGCTGAGGAACCTGTTGCCGCTGTAGCCGAGACTAAGGAGGTTGCAATAGAAGAGACCGTGGCAGAAGATGAGACCAAAGAAGTTACACACAAAGAGCCGGTGGATGAGAAAATAGAAGCTGAAGCTCCAAAGGAGGCTGTTGTTGAGGAGACCAAAGAAGAAGCTCCCAAATGCACTGATGCGCCGGCAACCGAGGAGGAGAAACCAGCGGAAGCTGTGGCGCCGACCGCGAAAGAGGAGTGAAGAGTATAATTACGCAAGGTGGTACAAGAGAAGGTTTTGCAGCATTTTGGTTCTTTTATCCAGCACGTTAAAGTTGGTTAATTGAGTTTATTTTCTATTGTTTCTTTCAGTTTGTTATTTTAGTATTTTGTATTGGGGTTTCAATGCAGAAATAATATTAGTATGTTGGGTCCAAATCACTATATTATGATGTATAATGAAGTGTTTACCTGAGTATGGCTTTCTGATGGAATGTTGATCCTTAGATTTGAAGAACATAATATAAATTATTTTTACTTTAATAGTTTATTTTCTTTCTTTTTAACGAGTAATACATCCTTGTGGGAACCTCCCCTCTTCTATCCCAGATCACCGAAAGTAAAATTAAAGAGAAGTCAAAAGAGTTTCACTAAGGCATTTCTAGGTATTAAGTGGGGACGAGCCAAGCTAGTTCGGCTTGTCGTCAAATTTCTTGTGATCGACTCGTCAACTGCTAGCGAGTCAATTCACAGGAGGTAAAAATGCAATTTTAAGTAGAAAAATGAAAATTGACGTGCCGCTCGGATTGCCGCCTAGGGGCAAGTTGGTAGTACAAACAGAGTGACTTGGCCAACCCATTTAACACCCCTAAGCATTGCGCTAGATCCATTCACATTCTGCACCTAATTATGGATTGTTGCCATAGTCTCGGTCTTTGGTTCCCAGGTAAGAGTCCAGACAGCGCAAAGAATGATTCTGACAGCGGCAGATGGCTGAAAACTGGCTATTTGAAGGTTTGAGGCAAAAAGGGTTATCCATTCCACAATGATCGATATAAGCAATCTCTAAAGATGAAAATATCTCAAGATTATAAAGAGACACCTTTCAAGACACCTTTCAGTAAAATTACTGTATTCATCCGTTAAGTCTATGATCCAACTTGGGCAATTCCTTCATGGCCAATCTCGATTTTCAAATAAATACGCCTTCAAAAAAGGCATCATTCTCACAGTGATCATACGTAATGTACCAAAACGCAAGGGAATTCCAAAACGCAAGGGAACTCTCATAATTCCTGACTTTTTATTAACTTGTACCGATATCAACATTTGACAAGGGATGCTAAAAGTTACAATCTTCATTAAAGAAAACACAATGACAACACACCTTAATTACATGGTCTAGCTCCAAAACAGATAAGAGTTGCCAGTATTATGTACACTACAGCCTGACTGCACATCTTTTATGTGCAACAGAAAACACTGTCCACAATTGCAGCAAGTTTGTCACCAAGTACCAAAGCTGCAACCTACATGCTCCTGAGTAATGACACGAAGTCGATTTCGCAAGATTGACATGGAAGGATAAGCTGGAAAACATAACCTGTAGAAGCATGTGTGAGAAGATGGTAGGCGATTGGAAGACTCAGACGACTTATAGATGTAAAGGCGAGAACCCAGACCACCAAAGCCTTCAACAGGAAGATATTTTATTGAGGTCCAGAAGAAGAGGAGAACTTTTTTCTGCTCTTTCGACATTCGCCCAACAATCTGGAAGGGTAAAATTTAGTCAAATTAGAAGGATAAGATTCATACAACTCCAAGCACAACAAAAGTTTGGGCACTTCACCCATATTGGGGAACATCAGAGAATCCATATTGCAGTGCTTCAATTCAAAAGTTCTAGAACACATTTCTATCCTTTGATTCTGAAATTCTAGAAGAGCACACATATACCAATTAATCCAAATGATGAAGAAATTGTTCGTAAGATGTCTGACAAAGAATTGCTTCGTCTTGGAAATCATGAAAATGATGGCTCATCAGCTAATGTTACAACAAAATAGTAGCATTCAGCAACATGGACTGTTATATGTCATAGGAAGACACCATAGAAAATTAGTACTTCCCCTTTTCATCAAAAATATTTTAAGAACATATGGATAGAAGCTCAAAAAACACAACGTTAGTTATAACTTCTAAAAGAAACACTGTTTCTTCCATCTTAGGCTTGAAAGAGGAGACATCTCCTTTCAAATATGTAGTCCTTCTATGAATCACAAGACTATGTTTTGATATGACGGACTAGATAGAATTGGGAATGATTAGAAAGAGAGGCACGCAATAAAATTTGTCAATTGTCCCATCTAGTGTTGTCTTGTAAATGTTCTTTTTCGAAGAAACTACACATCAACTAGTTTTTATATGAAAGCATCTCTACTGTGAACATCGAAAGTAGAATATTTAGGTAAGCTTAAAAAGTTTACAAGTTCATTTACAAGTAAATAAGCAATTTAGTTTTTTGAGAGTGCATGTTTGGACAAACTGTACTTGCAAGTACATCTATATTAATTTAGAGGTGTCAATCCGGGTGGTCCGGGCCAGGTTGGCCTGCCAACATATGAGTCCGGTAACGGCTCGTGTGAAAAAAAGCCCACCTGCTACGGGTTCATGGCCGGTTCCGGGCCAACCCACAAATTTTGGACTACAACCCAGGGTCGTCCGCTGACCCATCCGAGTCGAGCCCATGCGGGTCACGGGTAGCGGTTTGTTCCCATTTGACCCGTATTATTGTATAAATAAAATTATAAAAATATAGAGTTTTTCATATTTATAGCAAAAAATATTTTTTTTGTTAAATGTAAACTAAGAATTGAACAAAATGATAAATTCATATTTATACCAAGAAATGTTTACATAGAATTCAAATTTAATGTTACATGAATTATTTATAACTTTGCAAAGTTAAATTTAACTTAAATANCTGGCCGGCCCGTCCGTCTTGGCACCTCTATGTTCATTGTGCAGTTACTTGAGTAGAAATGTCAAAAGACATAAAAGGAAATTATGTTTTTCTGTAATAAATTTCTAAAGTGGCTATTTTCCATCCAAATCTTAGCCCCCTTTTGAATCTCTTTCTTTTGGGAAAAATTCATTTTGCTATAGTGGGAAATAATTTAAAAATGAAACCAGTACACCATCATGTCAGACTACAAATTCTAGCCACTTGACCGTTGCCATGAAACTACCTATTTTGCCCTCCAATCCAAATATCACGTGCCCAACTACCACAAATATCATTTTACAAATGGAAGGGCATTTTTGGGATTTCTGTAAAAGCATGGTACCAGCTTTTTTACTAAAAAACGTGCCATGCACGGGTGTCAGGTATTTAGTCAGTTGAAGGACATTGGGGCCCACACATATATCAATTTCCTGTTCAAAAATTGGCAAAAAAAGGGGAGTCAAACGGGCCCTTAATCAAATTGTACTTTAATAGATTAGTAAATCCGAGTGCTAATAGATTATTTAGGTAACTTTTCATAGCCTCACTTGGTGTCTAAAGACCTTATTCAGACACTCAATAGCAAAAGATGATATGGCTGCAACAGGATAAAAATGGAGATAAATAAAGCTGAGTGATAGGCCAAAGAAAAGTTGGTCCCTTCATTTCTAGGTTTTTTCTTCATATTTGTGCAGGTCCAACATTTTTCTATTAATGTAGTATCTCTTCATCTGAATTGTTCCTCCATCTGCAGCTTCTTATTCATAGAATCATCTTCTTTGACCTACGGTCATTCTCTTGTAAGTTCCCTCAAGGATATTAGCATCCACAGTAAATATCATTTTTTCTCTCACACTTCCATAACACTTCCTTAGGAACCCCTATCATCTTTTTCTCTTTTTGAATCAACAAAATCCACATACAAGTCCTGTTTCTTTTCTCTGTTACTTCATCATCAAATTTCTGAGGTAGGTAGATGATTCCCTATCACATTTTCTCAACAAAACAACAAATTAATTGTTTAACGCCTCTCAGTTACAAAATAATATCCCTCAACTAAAATTTCATTCCATAACTCACGAGCTTAACATGTCTATAATTTATACAGCCTTGAATGCCCCCTTCTCTAACATTTTTTATTTATTCATTAAGCATCTGTTCACATTTTAAGATCTTATTATATAATTCCATCAAACATAAATACCAACCTCACCTAGAATAAGATTTCATGTGGCCCAGTTGCTTTTCAAGTCTTCATCGTCCTTGTTCAATTTTAAGACAGATTTATTTCCTATAGTTAGTAGGATTTTAATGTTCCCCAATATCTACAATATCCCAAATGATAGTCTAGTCCTCCTCAATAATCTATAAATAATTCCATCTACTTCCAGTTGGTACTAAATAAAATTATTTGATTTTCATCCTTGTGCACTCAACTTCTCACATGCTTTTACATGAGACTCCCAAATATCACATCTCTTGCAACATTTTGCACCGTCTCTATGATCCAAGTTCCTACTCTAATTCTATTTTCTTCGACTAATTTTACTCAACTACATTCATAATAGTGTGGGAACCTCACTTGATGTGCTATGCAATGTCTTATAATCTAAATATTTGTCCTTATTATCTAAATTTCCCATATCCCTCAGCACTTGTATGAAAAACTTGGCAAAACAATTGTTCAAATCAACTGTATAAGGAAAATGCATTTGCCAGATAAAGACAATCTCTAGACCTACAAAACTAAGTGTAATTCTTGTTTCGATAATTGAAGAGGACAAATATTGTTGAGGTAAATAAGATGGTCAAATAAAAAAATGCCCTGCAACAATAGCTAGACAAAATGCAAATGACAATGGAAAAGAGCAACTATCAATTTCAATTTTTTAACTAAACACGTTATACTATAAATTCTACATATAACGTGAAAATATGTATTCAATTTGTTTGGTATAACTATTAGTGTCAATAATATTGAACCCTAGTAGTATAGATTCACTTTTGGATTATATTTTCTTTTAAATAAGGAAATAGTTATAATTATTATCAATGAGATTGTTCAAACAAGGCCATGGCAGTCAAACCATCAATAGAAGATACAAACTTTGCTATAAAAGACAAGGAAAAGCGTTAGACAAGATAGCTAGTCACTGAATCAGAATTAAAATATGTTAATTTGTGGATCCTAATTATTGTCGTTGTGCGGAGTCAGTAAACGGATCGATCTCTGCGGGGAGATCGCCGTAGGAGTTGGAAGGAAATTTCTGGTTTAGGAATTTGTGTCCTTATAAATTTTGATTTTGCCCTAATTTGTCTGATAAATAAGGAGCTATCATTAGGTTTTTATATTACCATCATAAAAGAGAGGTTAGAGAAGATGGGTTTGGGATTTTTTCTTATAAACTTCTTTTCATCATAGTGAATTATTGCAGAGGAGGAATAAGACGAAGTCTCACGTTGAGGCTAACATCTATAAATTTTATGTGTTTTTTATGCTAATTGATTGCTCTGGGTAGAATAGAATTAGAATTTCTAATTCTCAACAAAATATTGTCCGGGAGAAACTAAGCAAGTTCGGATGGAATGAGATCATATAGTTTAGACTTATATTAGGAAAGTAGTCTATGGTACTTTAGTGCCCATGCTCCGAAAATAGAATTATATGTGGAAACAACGCAAGACAAATGGTTGATTTAGGTAATCAAGATAAGATCTTCATAGATTGAACAAGTGTGAAATCTAAAAATGCATAGGTTTCTAACAGGTCCAAATTAGCTAAACAAGAAGCTGACAGGATAAATTGGAAGCATGAAGAGAAATGTATAAGAAGTTGTACAGTTATCTTGGAACCAAGGATGAAAAGAATTATTACAAACATAATTGGCTAAGAGAACCAAGAAATAGAAATCTTAACCAAACACATTAAGGATCAAAATCAAAAAGTTACCTTATATGGTGAAAATGTTACAAAAGGATGGATTAATTTGGCAAAATATTTAATAAAAGGCATAGCGTGGATCTTGGGGATGTTTAAACTCTATTTAATATATAAATGTTACATATATTTCCCCAAAGTAAGATTAGCAACCAAGATGACGAAAATTAAGCCCTTGTTTGAGAGAAAAAATACATTTTTGAATAGTGATTTTTGGAGAAAGTTTGGTTAAAAATGAAGAATGATTTTTTGATAAATAGAGCTCAAACAAGGGCTAAATGAAATTGGTCCGAATAGAATCTTCGCACGAGCAGTTTGGGTATTTATCAACAAAATCATTAAATGAGATTTTAAGAGTAAAAAAGATTCTCCGTGTGACAAGGTCGAGTCTGATAGTGTCGGTTTAAAATAGATATTTAATGCTTATGCCTTGATGCCTACCTCATTCGAGACTTTCATCAAATATTTTTTGACTAAGAAGCATGAATTCGAATACGATGCTGATACACAGATACAACTTTTAACAAAACTTAGGATACTTGTGTGTGTGTAAGTATTTTTCACAAGTTAAATATAAAATTCAGCACAATGTTATTATTATAAAAAAGTAAAATGGAGCCCCATTTTGTGTGAAAAATGAGTTTTGTAATAGTGATTTTTTTGGAGAATGTATGGTTGAAAAGAAGGGAAGATTTTAGATTTTCATGCAAAATTATTTAATTAGGAGAATGTGAGATTGAAAATGAGTTTGGAAAAAATGAGTTTTTTGAGAATAAGGCTCAAACATGTGCTTTTTTTTTTTTTTAATAACCATGGATGTCCGAGCCAGCTTACACGCACCTCGACTAATTCCACGGGTTCATGAAGTTTACGATCAGGTACTCACCTCAGTATCCCTAAGAGAACTCGAACTAGTGACCATTGGGGAGCAAACCCAATGTCTGACCAATTGAGCAACCCCTCAAGGTTTGTGTTTACTTCTTTGAAATTGTTAATTAATAAATATTGTCTATTTTCAATAAATTACTAATAATAACAATAGTTACATATTAAGTCAAAAAATTTGTCATCTATTGTCAATAATAATATAATAAGTTTTAAAAAGTTTAAAACCAAATTCATTTTTCTTCACTTGTCCTAAAGTGTTCAACAAGTATTGAAAATTTAATAAAATATAAATTAATTAGAAAACACTTATCTAGTCCGTATCAAAGAGTGTTCAAGCATACCCAAGCTTGAATACATATTGAATACGGATACACAATAAGTTTCAAGTATACGTGCTTCTTAGCATTTCGAAGCTAGAGCTTTAATGCCATTTGTCAATGCTTAGCCTCTATTTATTAAGTCTTACATCTCTATTTACTAGCATAAGCTTCAAAGCGACTGAGTTGTGTGCTTGTTTGTGAACTCCTTTTTGGACATTTAATTATTTGCCCTCAATATTTGAGCTATTTTTTATAAACCAAAATGTTTACGTTTTTTTTCTTTTTTATCGATCATACCAGGATGATTGTGCATATATTAAGGCGTAAACCCAAAGTGTCAAATGACCATTTAAGTTTATGACACAATATTTTCCTGCCCCTTAAGTGCCATTCGTGAGGCTTACACCTCAAGCTTAAGCCTCAAGACGAATAAGTTGTTTGCCCTTTTGTCTTGCACTTATTGGACATTCTATTATTGACCTTAGCTTTTTAGGTGGTTCTCTTTTCTTTTACTGATTTATTTTATGTTGTTTGCAAGCTAAACTTTCAATTTTGCTAATTTGTTCTATAATGGATTTTTAGATGGTGCATGATTCATTAGGAGCTTTTATGTACTTTAATATTCTTTTGAATATTTATTAGTCTATCTGGAGGCTTTAACGCCTCACCTCTCCAAGGAAAAACACCTCGGTAACCGATTAAGCCTCTTTGAACATTGTAGAGAAATATAGAAGGAAAAAAATAGAGGGAAAAGTACACAAATAGATTCTATTTATTTGAGAGAGAGAGAGAGAGGACACATTGTAAGTTAGAATTTCAAAAGAAGAGTTGAAATGGCAAGATTTTAGGTTAAATTGAACTAGAATGGAATAGATGTCCTCTTAATCCTGATAGAAACAAGGACGATAGAGGAGTCATGAGGGATGTCACATTGTCACAAAGAATTAGTGTTATAGGTATTCGGAGTATATCATTAATGAGGAAGGATGGCTTGAGAATATAAGACAAAAGATTAGTACCAAGTCAACATAACAGTCAATCACACTAAAATTGATAAAATAACCGAGGGTGAGTTATAGAAAAAAGACATTATATAAGATGTGTCGCAGTCGGATAGACCTGAAGAAATCGCCATGCACAAAGCAGTACATTGTTATTCGTATTTCACTAAAAGGTGCTGTACACAAAAATTAACATAGGCAGAGGTGATTGCAAAAGGTTTTAATTCGAGTGGAGATATTAAAATAAAAAATAAAAAATGCACGTTTTTGGAAAGTTCTATATAGGGAGGCCAAACCAAAAGAAAAAATTCCACTAGCACACCTTCCAGTTAGAAGGGGAAAAGATGGAGAAAAAATTAACATAGCATAAAGCTAAATGTAAAAGGTTTTGCTGTTGGCTAGTAATACGAAGTTATAAACATTTACAGAAGGTTCTACGAGGACAGCGAACAAAAAAAATATTCTAATACCAACGTACCTTCCAAAACCAGGATATCTGTGGATCAGTTTCTCTATAGCCACTATATTCTGTATGTGCTTTCCAATCCTCCACAGAAATTGCACTTTCACTGCCATGTAGCATCAAGTCAAGATCTTCAGGATATAAGCTTCGGAAAAAGCATCTCTGGAGTTTTTGGCAACTTATAATGTCGGCAAAACCTTTAGCGAAATGAGCCACCTGTTCAGATATAGACCTGACGAAGCGATGCTGAATAAGAGAATCAACATAGAGCTCCCTATTTTTACTATTTACAGTAATGCTTTTCCCATCAGGGCAGAGCTCCACAAGCTTTCTTGATCCTAGCTCATCAATTTCATGAACAAAGGTCAGACCCAGAGCATCCTGATCAACTGCCTCAGGATCCATCTCCAATATTTGCTTACAGCTACTATACAAATAAGGATCTGCATCCTGAATATCTCCTAATGAAATAGTTTCCCCAGCTAATTGCAGAAAGAACACACGATCAAAGATTATGCCAATTTGTACTTTATGCATTAATGATAAGGCAATCACCCTGCCAGAGAAGCTAAAATATTCCAGGTGCAAAGGATCCACCTTAGATGCTGCAAATATAAAACAGTGCATAGGAAGGAAATTATTGCCCTGTCATATGTTTTGACATCACAAGAACTTCAATACACATGGAGTAAAAGTAATTTGTAACATGTTTAAACTTAACACAATGCTTTAGACATTGGGGACAGCAACTAGGTTAACATATGGCTTTCCAAGAGAGACTACTCAAGTAAAAGTTTTACAGAATAAGGGCCCAATTAAGATATTCTCCACAGTTTTCTAATATTCAGATTCCTCAAAACGTGTTGCAATTCACATACTTTTAAGAAAACTAAACCCAAATCCTAAAATAGGTGAATAGTGCAAAACCAAGAAAGATAGTTTATGTAAAGTGGTAACTTCATGGAGCAAGACTCATACTATGAGGGGATGCATCAAATCTTATATATTCGCTCCAAATATCTTGCTGTCTAAGAAAATTAGAGAGGTAAAATACCTAAGTTTATTGAGAAAACACCTTAGCTTCTTGTTATTGTACTGGAGGAGTTTTTCCATGCATTCACATGTATTGCCCCCTTTCAGGGAGATTAAATGAAGTGAGTGCTTGTGTGACACGAGGAACTGGGTTGAGGGAGGGAGGGATGCAACGATTGATTAGTTTATTAAAATTAAATTCTTATTGTAGGAAATCTCGATTCTAGTTATTATTTTATATGGAAAGATTGTAATTAGAATAGAATTAGGAAGTATTTTTCCCTTTCTTAAGATAGAATGTTTTTCCTTATTTTCATCTATTACACCATAGTATATAATTGTAACACGTGAAGAATCAATTCAATATAGAAGAAATTCT